TCTCCTTCTTATTGCCAGGGTCATGCTGCACCTGTCCTGTACGCTGCCTGGGCAGAGGCAGGTTTTGTGAAAGAGTCTGAGCTGGTTAACCTGCGTAAGATTGATTCTGACTTGGAGGGACACCCCACCCCAGTGAGTTGGGAATCTTGAGACCCATTCTGGTTTTTATTTGGAAGAAAAAGACAAAATTGTGTGCAAGCCACTCTCTGTATGATGTAAAACTTTCCTTCTTTCCAATTCTTCTTTTCAAACACAGAAATTGGAATTTGTTGATGTAGCTACTGGATCTCTGGGACAGGGTCTTGGGGCTGCATGTGGGATGGCCTATACCGGCAAACACTTTGACAAATCCAGGTCAGTGTGTTTATGTATCAGTGTCAAATCATAAGACTATCAAACATTTCTTTAGAACTTGCACAGGGTTACCTGAAACATTCTTGCACAGTTGTCAGTGTGTGGTGTTAATCTAAAGTGGATGCTTTATACTCTCATTTGCTCAAGACCACTTAAAAGCAGTCGTATTTACTCTAACTAGGACGTTTCTGCAGTGGTGAAATCCTGTTACTGTTGTTGTTGTGAAGCATGATCTGTTGCACTGCAGCAACAGAAAAGTTCTCAAAGTAGATATTATGGAAGTTCTCATGTCTGTTATTAACTGACTGTTGTAGTTATCGTGTGTACTGCATGCTGGGAGATGGCGAGTGCTCAGAGGGCTCAGTTTGGGAGGCCATGGCCTTTGGTTCCCACTACCAGCTGGACAACCTGGTGGCGATCCTGGATGTTAATCGGCTTGGTCAGAGCGAGCCCGCGCCTCTGAAGCACGACATGGAGATCTACCGCAAACGTTGTGAAGCCTTTGGGTCAGCACGTCATTTATCTCGTCTCATAACCTGCAGAAACAAACTGTCCGAACTTGACCTTATATTTTTCTTTCCCTGTATCTGCTCTTTGATGGTCTACAGACATGTTCAGATGTTAATAACGTTCTGTGTTTGTAGGTGGAACACGTATGTTGTGGATGGACATGATGTGGAGGAGCTGTGCAAAGCTTTCTGGCAGGCTCAGCAGGTCAAAGGCAAACCGACCTGCATTGTTGCCAAGACATTCAAGGGCAGAGGCCTCAAAGGTTGGTGTGAA